CAGAGCACTTAGGCCTCATTGTATTTATAGTTGTATATCTTTTATCAGTTGATATACTTAGTTCACTATAAACAATGCTCTGATACCAATCTGTCACACCCCCAAACCGGAACGGCGGAAACGTTTGGGGCGGAGGACGTCATGTTTAGTATCACAACACATGTATCATAGTAATCATAGTAACAAACAACCATTATATTAATATTAAAGTGTTTACAAGTAATGATTCACAAAAGATTGAATCCAAAAGTAAATAACAAAATAAGACATGAAGCTACTATACTTCATCTTCCGAATCCCAACGCGCGTACCTGTCTGCTAGTTTCCTGAGAATACAAGTTATTTTGAAAGAGTAGATCAGCATTTAAGCTAGTGAGCTCATAAGTATTTTAATAATGTAAAGTAAGATGGTAGTTCTTTTTAGAAGAGTTCGCTTGTTCCTCCAGAAGATCCTGTATCTTCTGATGTGATGAAAGTTAAGTAAAAATAGCTCTACAATCCTTTCTATGAGTGCTAAATAGATACAAGTTATATAAAACCCAGAGTAAACAAATAATCAGTTGTGTGAATCTGCCCTAAGCCCACAACCAAACAAGGAACGGGAAGTAAGGCGGAAGTCACACATCCCATTGTTTGTTAGATCTCCGTTATATATATCCCTGACGTATTCATTTGGTACTCACGGAGTTAACTGTAATAGTTCCTTTATATTTGAAGAAAACATTCTTTAAGAATAAATCTTATTTCTTTTAGTAAAAATGGTAACCACAATAGTTCCTTCTATAATCACTTAGGTTACACTCATTATATATAATTTAATATCGAACGGATATTAATTGTGTGAATATGCCCTAAGCCCACAACCAAACAAAGAACAGCGAGTAAGGAAGAAATCACACATCCAACTACCTATCGGACACTAATGATATATATAACCCTTTTGTATAAACTATGGTATTATAGAATTAACCACTTAAGGTCCTTTACGTTATACTGGTTTAATTAAATGGATTAAACCTTTTACTAATAAATTTCTAGTTTAGATTACTCAATGCTCTATTGTTTGGACGACTACTAGGAGTAATGACATCCTGTACTCTTAACGCCTCAGTCGATACTGTTGCGAGTTTTGTATATATTTGTATTTTTTAGTTATTATTGTCCGGTACTTTACCAATGTACTCTTTATAAATAATTCCATCTTGATATATTGTTACCACCTCGTGTTTGCTAACCCTGGCACGTTGTATTTGTACCTTTGTTAATGCAAACCCGGTAAGATATGCTATTATGTGATATCACCTCGTGCTTGCAAACCCTGATGCGTTGTAATCGTACCTTTGTTAGTGCAAACCCGGTAAGATATGTTATTATGTTCTATCACCTCGTGCTTGCTAACCCTGGTACGTTGTATTTGTACCTTTGTTAATGCAAACCCGGTAAGATATGTTATTATGTTTTATCACCTCGTGCTTGCTAACCCTGGTACGTTGCATTTGTACCTTTGTTAATGCAAACCCGGTAAGATATGTTATTATGTTTTATCACCTCATGCTTGCTAACCCTGGTACGTTGTAATCGTACCTTTGTTAGTGCAAACCTGGTAAGATATGTTATTATGTTTTATCACCTCGTGCTTGCTAACCCTAGTACGTTGTAATCGTTCCTTTGTTAGTACAAACCCAGTAAGATATGTTATTACCTTAATTTGTTATAAACAATGAGTTAAGGTTACGATGTCTTCCTAGAATACTAGGAATATCGTATAAGTGTGTAATTCATGATTTGTTCTACTGTTATTGTTATAGTATGTTCCTCCCTGAACTAGTTATAGTATGATCCTCCCTGTTCTAGTTATAGTATGTTCTTCTCTGTACTAGTTATAGTATGCTCCTCTCTATACTAGTTATAGTATGAACTGAACCCCTAAACTATACCTATTATAGTTTAATAGCATGTTTACATGAACTGTTACTGACTTATAGAAAAGACTCGTTTTATCTACTGAGTTATGATTGTATTTCAAAAAATAGAGTTTTATAAACAACAAGGTAATCATAACTTTAAAAGAGTTTTTGAAATGATTTGATAACTTATAAAAGCGTAAGAATTCTTTTAATGTGATGGTTATCACAAATAACATTTACACATTCAACTTATATTCCCCCCCCCCCTTAAAAGCATTTAAATCAGTTAAAAGATTGATTATAGGGGTATGAACTCACCTTGTGTGGGTGATTCAACTACAGATTCGTGTAAGGATGAGAAGTTCCACGAATGTATTCCCGAGACACAATTTAGTCCTAAATGACATATAATGGCATATAGACATGTAATTAGTGTTTAAAAGCAACTAACATGCAAGGAAACACCCATAGGGACTAGGAAACACTTGGACTAAGTGTTAGAATCACATGTGATTCATCAAAGGGGTGTATACGACCACAACTTGGTGTGTACGGCCATGGAGTGTATGGTCGTACACTCATGGTCAAACATGCATAAGAGGGTCTTTGAACAATGGGAAAGCTAGTGGGTCGATTGCTCATCAAGAATATGAACTAGATTCTCACTTTTGAGGCCCTTTGGAGTGTTTTGAGGTGTGTACGGCCATGCAAGGGTGTACGGCCGTACACTCCTTTTGTTCTTGTAAAATGGTCGTTTCTAGGGTGTTAAACAAGAGTTCCTAACGTATACTAAGCATAAGGAAAGGATACTTATGTTTTGGAGGCTCAAAGAGGGTTCACGGCCATCAAGAACAAGTGTGTGTTCTTGGTGTTCTTGGTGAAATGGATGAAGATTTGAAGATCTATCATAAAATAGATGTTTTCATGGCTGAATCATGATATGAATACAAGACTAGGAAGGATATCAAGAAGGATGGAAGAATCACTTACCACTTTTGAAGATCAAGATGAAAGGCTTGATGATAGTTGAGAGAGAAACTGGTTTCTTGATTTGGAAATGGAAGAAATGAAGAAAAATGAAGGATATCATCTATATATGAGGGAGGTGTACGTCCATGATGGGTGTACGGTCGTACACTCCCTTGGATGGAGTGTTCGGCTCGATTGCAATGCGAAGAACTTTAATTGACACATCCCTAAACCCATAGCTTGATTGTACTGAGCTTACAACCCTCAAACAGACTCTAAACGATGCTAAAAGATAGCAAAAACGAGTGTAACTCTCGGTTGAATTGAATGGCTGGACTTGCAAGGAAAAAAATTTCGGGTTGTCACTAAGTGGTCACTAAAAGTTATTATTATTATTTAATTTCATAACAAGTATTAGGGACTAAAATTAGTGGTCATTGATTTGACGTTTAATGACCAAAAATAGTTGCCACTGCATTGAAAACTTAGTGACCAAAAATAGTGGTCACTAATTGATATTCGTTTTTCAAACCCACACATAGTGACGACATAATAACGTAATGGTGGTGACTGCATGGAAAAAAACTAATGACCAGAAAATAGTGGTCACAGTATTGATTTTTCTACATGATATTTAACATACTATCTTTCATACTTGGACAGTTCTTTTTTTTTTTACCTAAAGAAAACTATCCCTCCTTCTTTTATTATTGGGAGAATTTCGTATATGCCCTTATTAAATGTCAAAATATCATATTTACCCGGCCTAACATTTAAATATCGTATTTGCCCTTCTTAATCTTTAAAATTGAAATTGAAATTGAAATCTTTAACATTTAAATTTAACCAAATTTATTTTTTTAATAGTTTATAATCCCTTTTTATATTTTTAAACCATTAAAATTGAAAAAGTAAATAAATGGACCATATTGCCATTGCCTTTTAAGTACTTTCAAAATGGCATACGGTCAAAAGAATTTACCTCTTGTCGTCACTAGTGTTAACCTGTCACCGTCCTCCTTCTTGCCTTCTCCCAGATTCCATCAATTCAAAAGAAATCCCTTAAGAGTTGTTGCAGGTTCTTTATGTTTTAATGAACTCAAAGAAATACAGGAAAAAAATGGGGACAATTACAGGTGAAAATGGAGTCTTGGAGCCGGAGAAAGTTAATTGGTTGGAGGATTAATTTTTTTCATGAGAAACGATAGTTTCTAGGGTTATTAAAAAAGATTTTTGGTATGCACCACAATAACAAAAAGATATAAGATTATAGAAGAGATCAAATGGATCCGGTCTTGAAAGTTTGTAATACCTTGTCTTTTTAAGTTACTGGAGTGTCATAGTTAAAATTAGCCAATCAATATCCAAATCAACACCTAGTTAGTAGTTAATAAACGAACAAATCCTTGTTTTGCATCTGTAGCCTCTGTTATTAATTTGGTGGTCTTGTTTTATTGTCACTTATAAAGAAAAGATGTATTAATATACTATCCAGGTATTATTTGTTATGGGTTAGATTACCTGATGTTGAGAAAAAAACAGTTTACTAATTATTAAAAAGACCGAAATTTTGGAAATAATTGTGCCAGTGTTTTTAGTTTTAGATAAAAAGTGTTTATGCAGGTTATAGACATGGAACATGAACTTCAAGCATTACGAGTTCAACTGTATCTCTTTGACTTCTTTAGAACTGATGGAATACGGGAAAGGCAAGAAGGATGACGTTGACATGTTAACACACTGGCGACGGCAAGAGATAAATTCTTTTGATCGTATGTCATTTAGAAGGTAACTATAAGGTAAGGACAATATGGTCCATTTATTTTCTTTTTCAATTTTAATGATTTGAAAATATAAAAAGGGATTATAAACTATTAAAAAAAATTTGGGGATATATGATATTTTAAAAGATTAAGAAAGACAAATATGATATTTAGATGTTAGGCCGGACAAATATGATATTTTGACGTTTAATAAGGGCATATATGAAATTCTAAAAGATTAAGAAGGACAAATATGATATTTAGATGTTAGGCCGAACAAATATGATATTTTGACGTTTAATAAGGGCATATATATATATATATATGAAATTCTCCATTTATTATTCTATTTTTTTACTCACTATCATCGACGACTGAGATCTCGTATCTAATCACCCGAAACCACACAAGAAATCGAACCCGAACCCTAGCCTCTCGTTCCTATCTTCTCTCGCCAGAAACATCAACAGAAAACTTTTTGGTTTCCTCTCGTCGTGTTCTTCTCTTATTTCATTGGAACCCTAGTAATCAACATTGATACTTAACGAAGCATTAGGCAGACACGTAAGATTCAAAGTCACGATTCACCTCCTCTTATTGCCTCTCGTCTGCGCCACTCCTGTGAACGAATAGAAGCAATGTGCCCTCCATCTCTCTTGTTAAATGCATTCTACATTCTAGGGTTCGAATTACCCTCTCCTTGTCGTGTGATTTTACCAGAGATTGAATCATGCCCTGAAAACTTTGATTAAGGTGTGATTATGGCTCGAAATATCCAATTGGAGTTAATACCTTGCATTTGATGCCGTGTTCATCATTACTAAATGTCGAAGGTAATGTTATCCTTTCCTCAATCTCTCTTCTCTTCTTCGTCATTGATTGCTCTGGGACGACATTGTCCTCTACCTACTTTTCTGATTCTCGACTCCATTCTGATGCTTGTTCACAATCACACACTTACACAAGCACGTATGAACACACATAGTCGAAAACACATAGAAATACGCAATTACTTATGAAAGGAGTCGATTTTCCTTCATTTTTAGCTCAAGTTTATTGTACGTTTCCGATTGAGGGCTATGGTGGTGGTGTTTGTTCCCCACCGATTAGTTTTGAAGTTTTATGATCAATTTGTGTGTGTCTCTGAGGAATGCTAGACATTTTTGTGATTTTTTTTATCCTCAGTGTTTTGTTCATATTTTTCTATAAAACTATTTATAGGTTCATCTGGATCAGTAGAGCTACCCGAGGGGCTAGACCAATACATCTTAGACACAGAAAAGAACCATGGAAGCAGAAGATGGTCTCCAAAATCTCACCTCCCTTCACACCCTAGAAACTTATACACATACCCTACAAAACAACACCAATTCTTCACAATACTCACACCAACCTCATATTTACCTTCATTTTCACCCGGGCCGCACAACAGTCTGCCCTCGCTATGTTATCGTTACCAAATGCCCTTGTGAGACCTTAATCTCTACCCTTTATCAAACACCTATAGATTATCTGTTATTTCATTCAAATAAAGGCATGATAATCTATTTAATTTTGGTTATCTGATGCCTCCATTTCTATTATGAATCTCATCTTGCAATTAGCTTCTTACTGAGAGATGGCCATGTATTTGCCATTGCCACTGTTGCTACATTTATTGTAAGAACCTATCACCTACCCCTTGCTCAAATCATCCTGTCTTTTTTTTTCAGGAAATTTACTGAAAAAACCATTATATTTTCGGCACTATTGCAGTTTAACTACTTATACTATATTTTTCTTCTATAATATGCTTAAAAAGTTTAAATATTTCCTATAAATAATAAACATCTAATGTAATTATTATTACGTCTCGCAAGGAAGTCTAATAGTTGCAAGATAAGACAGTTGGATGTTCTAGTTTTCTTTAAGTTCAACAAGTACTTCAGAAATATTTGGTTTTTGTGATGCGTCTCTATGACTATCAATAGACATGGAAGTGATTGTAGCTGTTTTTATCATACTCTCTTCATCTTAAGTTCCTTTTAAACTCTTATCAACTATCTCAAATACACCTGCATGCAAATAATCTGAAGTCCTTTATGCTTTTCTTTGTTATTGAAACTAATTCATTAATGTGTATCTACAACGTGTATCTACAGCATGTGACTGATATCTTTGGAAGAGAAAACATGGTTCGCATTACAGGTGTCATCGTCAAAAACACTAAAAATTTCAACTTTTTGATATTCATTAATAAATTGTGGAATTTGGTTGCCTTTTGAGCTCACCATTAAGCCAAATACTTTCTTAATAATGATTTATTTTTCTTTTTTTGCATTCCAGGTGGAATGAAGGTGAAGGCTGACAGGGATGAATCTTCTCCTTATGCAACCATGCTTGTTGCACAAGATGTCTCCCAAGATGCAAGGTTTTAATATATTTTTTTCTTTGATTTATTTATAAAGAAAATGAAATATGTAATAGGGTTCCATATTTTTTAGATAAAAACCAACATAACTGATGAAGAAGCAAATGAAAAAAGATGGCTTGGAATTAGAGGTGGGTGATAATGCTAATGAGGATACCAGCGCACACAAACATGGAGTGGTGTGCATAATTTCTATTGATTATAATGATTTTGTTTTATATTTATTTTTATTTTATTTACTTTTTTTAATTTCATGTTTTAATTTTAGGTGAAATTTTCCGTTTAGTTCCATCACGTTATTAATAGGGCTATGCCTAGAAAAAAAACCAAACAAAAATAGGCCCCACCTGAAAAAACTAAGCCAACAAGTTTTAGATGATGAAACTCGTGCTCTTTAGGTATTTGCAAAATACATATTTAGTCCTTATTCTTATCAAAATTATGGATTTGGTCCCTACCTTGAGAACTTTTTAATCCTTTTTTTGTCATCGTATTTGTGTATTTCGTTAAACTATGCAAAATGACCATACTACCCTTATAGGTGGAGTTATCGGGTCTTCTTGATGCTACATGTGACACTCAAACAAAGATGGTAAAGATGTCAGCATTGAATCATCTAATGTCAACACATGTCTTGCAACATGCTCAACAAATTGAGTGTTTGTATGATCGGGTCAGAAATAGCAACATACTTGACTCTTTGTACAAATGTAGGCAATATACTCTGTTTTGTTTTTTCACTTATTTACCATAATAACAAACATTTATTTACCTATAATTAATAGCATTATGTGATGAATAAAGTAGAATGTTATATCTAGTAGTATTTTATTGAGTGGTTTTATTTATTTGTTTGCTTGTTTGTTTATTATTATAGGCGGTTGAAGCAACAAAGAATGTTGAGATGGGTAATAAGGAACAAACTCAAGCCCATACAGAGGAACAACAATAGCAGAATTTTGATCTTACTTTTCATTTTTGTTTTTATTTTTACTATTCTTTTTCTTGACTGGTATAATTAATTAATAGCTAAATCAAGGGACTCATCATTTAACTTACGAATTATATTTTTTGTTTTTTGTTCTTGTTTTTTGTTTTTGTTTTTGTTTTTGTTTTTGTTTTTGTTTTTTTTTTTTTTTGCACTTTCAAGAGTGAAAAATGTAAACGGACCCCATTGTAGATAGCTTTAGGTTTCAGGATGCAGAAAATAGGTACATACTTCTATTGATTTGTTTACTCTATGATTACAGTTGCACCCAGTGACGACTATTTATGGTCATTAAAATGGATAAATAGTGACGACTTTTTACTGTCACTAGATGTGTAAAACAGCGACGACCTTTTATGGTCACTAATTGCATAAAATAGTGATGACTTTCATTAATTAGTGACAACATTTAGTGACGAAATGGGTCGTGACAGGTTTAGTGACCAATATATTTTAGTCACTATTTAGTGACCATTTATATATTTAGTGACTAAATCAGTTTAGTGACGGACCTATAGTGGCGAAAAGTGACGACCAGATATTTGGTCACTAAATCATTTAGTGACGACTTCTTCTATTGTTAGTGACGATTTCGCTTTCGTCACTAATTGACATTTTTTTGTAGTGTGTTTTTTTAAGGCTATAAGATGTTAGAAGACTTTGGTCCACATCTGCACCAGGAAGAGACGTGCAGAAAGTACAAATACAGACCTTTTTAAGTATGTAGTCTTCAAAAAATAAACAATATGCGAAGGATAATGTCTGCGTGACGTAGGCATAGGCAGAAGACCCCAAGAAGATCCGTTAATTGGCAGAAAACAAACATCACCATAGTCAATGTATATAACAGTTTTTATAATTGGTATAAAAATTAAAAAGTGCGAATTATATGTCCACAACAAAACTATGGTGTGTTTGAGATTTTTATAATAAAGATCATTAACTTCCAACAAAATCCAACAATTCTAGAATAACAGGCAAAACAAAAGAAGGAATAATAATAAACAATTGGCAGCAAGGAATAATCAATTAAGCCTACTCATTTAAGACTTAGAAAATGGTATCAATTTCTGTTGGAGCAAAACATAACCAACACATTCAAAAACACAAAAATTAAAATAGTTATTATATTATGAGCTCTCGAGCAATATTTGCTGCCTAATTAATTAACATTATTCATTAGGAAGTAAGATGACTAACATTCTTAGTTTCAATCTCAAAAGGAAGAAACAAAAGAAAATATTGTATTAAGAAAGTAGTTTCATTACTTACCTCTTCATAACGATTCATTCTTATTGCTTTGTTGGAAATTTTATCAGATCAAGATGATGAGCATCTCTAAAGACTCTTCTTGATTTCCATTAATTCTAACTTTAGAAGTTCAAATAGCAAAAAACCAAAAAGTCAAACTTCCATAGGCTTGTAATAAATCTATTAACAAACATTCAAAATAAAACTATTAAAAATCTTGGTAAATACCTGCAATTTCATAGTTTTAATTTTGAACACGACCTTCCGACTTTCACAGTCATACCTTCAAAAACCCGTTTTTCTTTATTAATTTCATGGGACCAAATAACCACGCATTTAAATCGAACTAAAGGGAATAGATTTCAAATTTGGACAAGATTACGTATTAAAGGGATTTATTTATGTTAGATGGCGAGGGGTATATTGGGGATTTAAACATAGCCATGCGCAAGGAAAAGTGCAGGTTATAAGATTCATAAGATTTAAGGGCTTCTAGCCTAGCGGTATCCGGTGTTGCCCTCCCTCCTTGAGGTTGAGGGTTCAAGTCCCGTCGTGGACATAGGTGGATTTAAGGTGTAGTTTAGGAGTAGGTTAGATTTGTCGATTCAAAAAAAAAAAAAAGATTCATAAGGGCAGTTTAGGTAATTGACATTGAAAAAATGATCGGGAAAAATAGATTGAGGATTCTTAAGGGCAGTTTAAATCCCAACCATTTTATATCTGTAAGATATTTATAATATTGTACAAATTTGGGATTCTTATACGAATACACCTCTGACCAACGCCATACTATTGTTTTTTGTTCGATGGATGATTTTCTTTTTCATGATCTCGCGAACTGTTATACTAGATCATACAAAATCGGTTAGTCACTTCATTGTTGTTATTTTCAGTTTTGTTAATTTAGAATTAGGTTTTTTGTTATGTCCATTTTTCTTGCATTTGAATTTTGTTGTTTATTGTTTCAAATAATCTGTTCACCGTAACTTTTTTTCAAAGTGAAGATAAAGAATGTAATGAATTAACATCAAAAAAGCTTTTCAGCACTACAAGAAATTAGAGTATTACGCTAAAGATTGAAAATGTCGCCGTTAAAGGGTCGCTGCTGTTGGTTTGTCGCTAATGCTCACTGGTCGCCGTTATTGCCTTCCGTCGCCGTTAAAGGTGCGTCGCCGCTAATAATATTTGTCGCCACTAAAGGTGTCGGTGCTATTTATATGTATTTTTATACATACAAATACACATACATACATAATACACATACAAAATACACATATACATACAAAAATACATACACATACATAATTCACATACAAAATACACATATACATACAAATGAACATACAGAAACACATATACATACATAAAATACACCCAAGATACACATATACATACAAATGCAAATACAAATATATATCCACATCTACAAACACAAAATACACATCTAATAAATCAAAATTATCAAAATTTCGTCATGAATAGTGGTGGTGGCGGTATACTCCGGCGAGAACGGTGGGAGATCTCAAAATTCCAACAACCAACACAAATTTAGTAGGGAGAAGAGAAAAAGGAAAAGAAAAGGAGAAAAAATGGAGAGGAAGATGGGTGAAATATCGAAGCTTTCGGTGAAATTCCGATGAGGTCGGCGGTGGTGAGCAGAGAGAAAAGGGAAAATACAGAAGATTGGGAAAGAAAGTGAGGACGAAGAGGATTTTATTGTCGACGCTCTTTAGCAGCGACGGGCAGCCTTCAGCGGCAACACATCGGAGGGAAAAAATCCGAGGTTTCCTACGTCATTGGATCATCGCTTAAATCAACGGATGGGGTTGAAATGACGCGGATCGCCGGAACAGGCAATAGCGGCGACGCCTTTAGCGGCGACGCCTTTAGCGGCGACAGACAACCTTTAGCGACGACACACCGGAGGGAAAACAACATGGGATTTTCAATGTCCTCCTAGCCGTTGGATCATCGCTTAAATAGACGGTTAGGGTTGAAATGACGCGGATTGCCAACATAAGCCTTTAGCGACGACGCCTTTAGTGGCGACGGACACTTTTAGCGGCGACAAAAACACATTTGTTTGTTGTGGCCCCTAAAAGTGTCCGTCGCTGTTAAAGGTGTCGCCGCTATTGCCTATTATTCTTGTAGTGCAGATGATTCACTCCGACAAAATGTAAGATCTTCCCTTCTATTTGGTATATGTTATAGTTCTTAGCATAAAATCTGTATGAATGTGTTTGCTTGTTATAGATTTGCTAAGCTCTTTTAGTCAATTGTTAAGGGGGGTTTTTTATTATTATTTAAAGTATGCATTATTTTATCATAATTTTGTTTATCGTAGGAAACACACTAAAAGTTACCTGTTGATAAAAGACCATTATGCCCTTCAAAAAATATCCACTTTCTAGGCTCTGCGCTTTTTAATTTCCATTTTACTCATCACGAACAAGTATCATTACAATAGAAGTTCCTATTAGCACTAATAACCACAAAAAGACCATACTGCCCTCCTCTACTTTTATTTCCCATTTAACCATTTTTAAACTCGATAAGTTTAAGCCTGATATCTTCAAGAATAAAAAGAACCACTTTATTTTGTCGTTAATTCATATCTTGTAAAGTTGTTATTCATTTCCCTCATATTAGAATTCCTTTGACATATTTCATTACAATTAAGTCTTATGACATGGTTGTGCTTTTTGTTAACCATTTGTATATGCTCATTTAATTGAAAATTCAAAAGAAAATTTTGGCTACCAAGGTTAATATAACTTAACCTATCAACTTCCTATTAACCATTTCATGCATCGGCTTCCTTGATTGCTTTATAGAATCAGCTAACTTTTTCGACATTAAAATGCATCAGGTTCCTTGATTAGTCCCAATTATAACAATGTATTTTCTATGTACAATGCTATAAATGACATCACTTGGTTGTTAATCTTTTTTATTCCTGTCAAATATCTTTTTTTTAAAATACTTTTTTTTATGAAATTGTTGTACATGGACCATTTCTTAAAACTTTCTCTTACATTGTTGCATTGTATATATATATATATATATATATATATTATATATATATATATATATATATATATATATATATATATATATATATATTTGTGTGTGATGAAATGTTTTACAATGAAATAAAAACTACCTACCACATGCCAAGACATAGTATAAATCAAGTATAATAAATAATTACCTTTCACTTTTTTTGTAAAAAAATATAAGATGGACTTGAGTATTCTAGTTAAACCAAATAGCTAATACAACTAGAAGACATTTAACCTATCAGTCGAGGTGATGAAAATGTGTCATTCCCTTAAAAAGGTTGAGGGTTCAAATCGAGTGATGGACAAATGGTGTTACACGTTAAAAAAAAAACCTAACACAAATATGTATAAATCATTCGTAAAAAAGCATATATACATTATACGATTTCTTTATATCTAATAAATTGATTTGCATATAAAAACATATAATAAATTGATTAGCTTTCTCATCCATTTTCCAACTTTCTACATGACTACAACTACACCTTTCTATTTTATGAAACTTAAAAATTCCTCTTTTTTTACCTCATCGATTGAGAGGTCGTCGTAACTTCACCTTTTTTTAAGTATCATCTTCTGGACAGGTTGTCTAGTTTATCTCATTGTTTTTTTAGGAATTACACGGGAGAGACCAGCAGAGAATATGCATTTGAGATATTTTTTATATTTTTATTTTTTAGAATTTTTTAACTATTCAAATATTTGTTACTAGAACTTGTAAACTTGGTGAATTTAACCAATAAAAACAC